TGTGGCCTCCCCAGCCCCAATGCCTCGTGGGTGCTGGCCCCGGCCGAGGCGGTGCGGCTGGACTGCAAGAGCTGGTAGGACGGCGGCTGGCGGCCGCGGGGACCGGGGGCAGGCCGGGCTTGGGACTCGGCTGGGCCAGGCTCTGCCCGCCCCGGCTGGGGCTTGAGCCCTTCCCGCACCCCGTCCGCAGCACCTGCGTCAACGGGTCCCTGGAGTGCTCGTCCCGGGCCTGCCCGCTCCTCGGGCCCTGGTCATCCTGGAGCAAGTGCTCAGCGGCCTGCGGCGGGGGCATCACCGAGCGCCGCCGGAGCTGCGAGAGGGGCCCGGGGGGCGCTCTGTGCCAGGCCTGGGACACGGAGCAACAGCGGCAGTGTAACCTGCAGCCCTGCCCAGGCGAGCATCAGGCTGCAGGCGCCCACCCCGCCCCGCTCCAGGGTGGGGCCCGAGCCAGCCCCTGCTGACGCCCCTCACTCGGTGTGCTCCCCAGAGTGCCCACCTGGCCAGGAGCTCACCGCCTGCCCTACCGCGTGCCCACACCTCTGCGCACACCTGCTGCCCGGTGCCCTGTGCCTGCAGGTGCCCTGCCAGAGCGGCTGTGGCTGTCCTGGAGGGCAGGTGGGTGTGGGTGGGTGCCCAGCCTGGTCCCCAGGAAGCTCCCGGGGTGGGGGGGCAGCAGGGAGGGAGGGAGGGAGACGGGGCCCCGCATAACTGGAGCCTGTGCCGCCCCAGCTGCTGCACAATGGCACCTGTGTGCCCCCCACGGCCTGCCCCTGCACCCAGCGCTCTCTGCCCTGGGGCCTCACCCTGACCCCCGAGGAGCAGGCCCGGGAGCTGCCCCCAGGGGCTGAGCTTGCCCAGAACTGCACCCGCTGGTGAGTGCCCGGGCAGGGTCTCGGGCGGGGCGGAGCGGCGGGCGCCCCAGCGGCACCCAACGGGCACTTTGTCCCCGCAGCACCTGCCGAGGCGGCACCTTCAGCTGTTCCCGCGATGAGGACTGTTGGGGTGAGCGATGCCCAGGCCCTGTTCCTGCCGGGCCGAGGCCTGCGGCCCTGAGGCGCCCAACAGCCCACCCGCCCGCCCAGCCGGGCTGCCTCCTCCAGGAGCTCCCGCCGGCTGTGTCCACTCTGGCACTCCCTGCCCATTGCTCCCAGATGCTCCGCGCTGTCCACGTGACAGCGAGGTCCGAGGGGGCCGCGGTCCCCAGCGGGCGGCTGCCTGGCACCTGCCGCTCCATCTGGCCAAGGCGGGCAGGCCTGTCTCAGAGCCACGGGCACTGCTCTGTGCCCCAGGGGCACGCAGGATGGCGGGCCTGGTGACCCCACTCCCCGTGTGACTGGGGCGGGCTCACCCACCAGGACAGGCAGTGACAGGAGAGTGCCCGACCCATGCCCAGCAAGCGACCCACAGGATGTGGGCTCAGCGCCTTAAACAGAGAGGCCGGGCGGACTGGTCAGGGGCAGCTTCCTGGAGGGGGCAAGACCCTGGGGGCTCTGCTCGCCTGTGGGAAGGTGGCCGAGGGCAAGAGGTGTGTCTGGAAGTAGCCTGAGCCCAGCAGGCATCGCGTGGGGAGGGAGGGGTGAGGTGAGGGGTGCCCACCGTGGGGGGCAACTCGAGATTGGCCCAGGGCTGACCCATGTGGTGGTCTTCCCTGGCAGGGTGCCCCCCTGGGGAAATGTGGCAGCAGGTGACTCCGAGGGGGCCGGGGCCTTGAGAGCGGACGTGCCTGGGGGCAGCAGAGTGTCGTGTCAGTGGGGCTGTGCATGGCCACCCCCACCTGGACAGGCATCCCTGTGCCTGCCCCTCCTGCCACCCCCCTGTCCCCCACAGAGGAGCGGCCCGACGCTTGCCACCCCGTCACTGAGCTTCGCAACCTCACCAAGGGCCTGTGCTACCTGGACCGGGTGGAAGTGACCTACTGCAGCGGGTACTGCCCATCCAGCACGCACGTCATGCCCGAGGTAGCCAGGGGCAGCGGGTGGGCAGGAGTCAGGTCAGCCAGCGGCCCTGAGCAGTGGGGAGTGGGAGGCTGGGAAGCCCGGGGGCACCGGGAGAGCAGTCCGGGCCAGTTTTTGCCAAGCTGGTGGCTGCACTGGCTGCTGGGCCCGTGACCCTGGGGGGGGTGGGGCTTGCAGCCACTGGGGGGCGCTCTTCTGCTTGTCCCCCTGGGCCCCCAGGGCCTAGACGCTGGGCCCCTGGCACACTCTGCTGCCCCCTATGGGCAGCACGAGGAAGGTGGGGCTGGGGAGTGCGGGGCAGTTGGCACAGGGCCTGGGGAGTCCTGGAGGGGCATTGGGCCCTCCATACCCAGAGTCTCCTGGCGGCGGCAGGTGGGACAGCAAGTCTGGGCCGCACAGGGACAGGCCGAGGCAGCTAAGTTTGGCTCAGGCATCAGAGCCCATGATGGAGCCGGTGCGCGGGGTGGACGTCTGTCCCCCTGTGAAGGCCTCTGTTTCTTAAAATAATTACGTTTGAGGTCACATTGCCCAGAGCGTTTGACCAGCTTCAGGTGTGCGCTGCCGAAAGACGCGCGCACACGCCGCACCGCGCCCACTGCCGGGACCCCGAGTCTGTGTGCCCCGCCGCCCCCTTTCCCGATTGACCAGCCCTTGGGCCCTCCCCGTCTGGCCTGAGAACCCAGAAGCGACTGCAGCCCCGCTGCTGCCCAGACGCCCGGGCAGCGCTTGGGCGCGCCCCTGCTCCGCCTGGAGCACTCTGGACGTTTGAAACTTAGGGTGAAGGAAAAATAACTCAGAGAACCCCCCCCACACACGGAGGAAATGTGGTAACAGAATTCAAAGGGAAATTCTGCCCTGAAAGAAACGTTCGGAGCTGATTGTTTGGCATCGTTGCTGTTTCAAGGTCACGCGCGAGCGCGCGGCCAGCGGCCTCCCTGCCGCCAGCACGGCGCCCGCTGCGGGAGAGGACGCTTACATCAGCCCGGTGGGCGCAGGGCCTGCCGGCTGCAATCCCTGTGGTCTGAGCGTCTCGAGGACACAGCCCCAGGGACAGAGGCCTGGCCCGGGCGGGGGCGCCCCTGTAAAGGGGTGCGACCGCCAGGTGGCCGCCCCTCAGGGGCGGGGCTTTGGGGAGACCTGGGCTCCGTGCGGCTGGTCTCTCGCAGGCAGGGCTGCCCTGCGTGGCCAGGAGCTTGGGGCCTGCCTGCTCTCCCTGGACCCCAGCCCCTCTTGGGGCAGGAAGTCAGGGAGACAGTGTTTGGGGAGATCCTGGGGTGGCACCCCGGCTCAGCCGCCCGGTCTCCCCAGGAGCCGTACCTGCAGAGCCAGTGCCAGTGCTGCAGCTACCGCCTGGACCCCGAGAGCCCGGTGCGGGTCCTCAGCCTGCGCTGCCCCGATGGCCGTGCGGAGCCGGTGGTGCTGCCCCTCATCCAGAGCTGCCAGTGCAGCGCCTGCCAGGGTGGGTGCGGCTGTGCGAGGGGCGGGAGGGGCGGGGCTCCGGCAGGGGGCGGGGCTGCGGCGGACCTTGGGAGTCAGGTGTAGGAGGGCGTCCCCCGTCAGGGCCCCCACCGACATGCCCAGGAAGGTCTGGATGATGTAGCTGGTGGCCATGCTGCAGCGGGCGCAGGTCAGAAGTAGGAGGCCGAACACGGACGCCAAACAGACGAGCAGCGTGGCCAGCGAGCCGTACAGGAACACTGGGGACGGGTGGCCCTGAGCCCGGCCCGCCCGCGTGCGCCGGGCCTGTCGGGTCCAGGCTGGTGGGGCCCTTTGCCCCAGGCCTCTGTCCTGTCCCCTTGCAGCCCACAGGCCCCACGACCCCTCACCTCACTCAGACGCTGCTCGCGGCCAGCAGCCCCGGCCGCTCTGCCCAGGCCCATTACCCGTCCCCCGTGTCCGCTGCCCACCCCACTGGGCTGGCCCGGGGAGGACACTCACTGTCCGCCCGGCTGAGCTGGTC